GTTCGGCACGTGGTTTGGTGGGACTCGGTGGAAGATGAGGGGCCCCGAAGATGAACGCTGAAGTTTTGGCGAAAACGCTGAGGATGTTACTATATAACCCCTTTTGGGAGTCGATGATTCCACCATGTCATGTCAGACTTCGGCGGGTTCTAGACTGAAAAAAGACCTGTTTACTAAGGATTTCACTTACACTACAAAACCAGGTTAACCATTTGCTTAACGGTCTTGGAAGTCTAGGGAAGAATTGGCTTTTCATGGCTTTTCCATTCCAGTTGATGAACACCTGGGTGACCAACTTTGGTATACCCAGTCAAACAACAACCCTGGCCTGCTCGGTGTCACGGTTTCCCGTGATCCGGGCTCGGTGTGACTGGCCCTTTGGCCCCATGGAAGCAAACGTTGGGTCACCAAGTCAGACCATTGCTGGCTACCCAATGTCGAACAGCTGAGACCGTAAGGGAAGCGAGGGAAAAGCGCGCAGGCCAGATGCTGGTGCTGTCGTATCTGGTCAGACCGAAAAACCAAGAGAGGTTTTTCACTCACAGCACCGTATATCACCCAACTCCTCTCATATGTACCACAATACTAGGGTCCTAGTTCAGGTCTTTCAACCTCCCTTGGTATCCAATCGTCGACTGGACTTCCAAGTGCCTCCAAGCGCGACACCCTTCTCGTCGGTCGCGGTGACACCCTGAGTCGAGCTGCGCATCTCGATGGTTCTCAAAGGCGAGGCCATCGCTATTAGGGTGGAGGCCATTACTACTAGTAGCAAGAAGCTACGGACGCATGGATTGGGTGTCTTCCTACGAAATTCCCACCCATGTGGAGATCCATTCTCCAAGATCCTGCGAGACTTCACAGCACAGGAGCGAGCGCAGCCCTTGCGTCAAAACCAGGACCTTCCCAGTGACCGAACTGGAGATCCCACTGGCTGAGGTCACTTAAGAATACGTTGAGGTTGACGATACTGGTCGGTCACGGGGAAGGTGCTGGCACCTGTGGCATAGACGACGCCGCGTTTTTCGCACACCAAACCACCAAACCGCTTGGTTCTGCGCCACAACGACACGCAGGATTGGAACATCAGACGACGCAGACCGAGGACGACCGGTGTTAGTCGAGGCCGACGGCACCGATACACCAAACCCAGGACGGCATCAATGGACTCGACAGGAAAACCTCAGCCCCATCCAGCGGTCAGCGACATCCAGTGGTCGATGGCGCTAGACAGTCTCCAGACCACGCACCGTGGGGGTGTGTGCGGCCTCACTCTCAGACGGCCTCACTCGGCCTCACGTGTCGGACGTGTCGGACGTGGTTTCGTGTCGCATTGACTTCGGGCGGGGCACGTTGAGAGAAAGGATCTGCACATGCCTTTCACCGCAGACTCTTGATTGAAACCCTCACCCACAAGATGGACATGCATTGCAAAACCTCTTCAGGCCTTAGGGGGGGCGTCAATTCCTATAGTCCTATACTAATCAATCGTCTGTATACCAGGACCCTCCAAGGGGTGTCCAATGGACTCCCCACACTACCTATAGATTCCATTGGGCACCCCGACAGGAGGGTCCTGGTACCAGCACCCTCCAACAGGTGCTTTTTTCCCCTCTCCAAACCACCCCGTGACACCCAGCCCACCTCAGCGGACGTACCGGCTCGACGGTACGCGTCGTAGGCGTCGTGGTGTCCTGGCGCGGAAGAAGCGCCGTTGGGCCAAGCAAGAGAGGTTCCTTCAACCTCCCTTGGAATACAGGGTTGGAAGTACAGTAGAACTCCTTCGGAATACCAACAGAAACTGAACAAAGACCAATAACACAAGTTCTGAACATGACAGAAACACGTCGAGCTCAGAACTGTGGGGCGTTCAAGTCGAGCTCAGAACTGGTGGTCAGTTCTCCGTTCTGACCGCGCTGGGCGGCCGTGTCGTGGTCTCGAATACCTCATGGTCTTCAAGTCCCTGAGCGCTTGGTCGCTTGCTATGGAAACATCCTTCCACCCTTCAAGGTACCATATATCCCTGGATCTCAAAGGCTCTCAGAAGGATGTTTCCATAGCAAAGCTCAGAAGGCTCTCTATGGATATCCTTTTCATGGCTCTCAAAGGTACCAGGATCTTCCCTGGATCTTCCTGGTGACCACTGTGAGTTAGGTCGGATGGGACTCCCAAAAGGGTCACTGGTCGGAAGATCCTGATATATATAGCTTTTCAATATGTGCCAATGCTTTTTCAAGTCAACTGTCTCGAAAAGCAGACTGTTGGAAAAAAAACAACAACACAACCCTCTACAGAAAAGGAGTATTTTGGGCGGCAAGCATGTCTTTCGCCAGGGGCGGTCGGCACACAACTCCACCACCAGTTCCTGGCCGGGATTCTTTCTTTTTTGCTGACTCACCACCGGTAACCCCACTGGCGCAGCACGCGCGACGAGGCACGTGCTTCGATGGAACTTCTGGCAGGTGCCTATGCTTTCTAAAAATCCCATCAGGGCCCAGAGGATGATGATGGCTAGTCTGGCTAGTATATATAAAGACCTTTCTGAACCTTTTCCAAAACCAGTGATCATCTACTGACGGTTACTGGTTTGCTGGGACACCCCCTATTCCTACGATGCTTGGAACACGCCACGTCCGGAGAAAAAGGACAAGAAACAGCAGCATTCAGGGGACCTTAACCCCCCCCCCCCCCGCGCCCAAGACAGAGCAGAAGGCAACCCGCTCCTGAGCTAATCGGAGAGGCCGCCATCCCGAGGGCCACATGGGTGTGTATTAAAATAGGGAGACCTCCCAGTTCGACCCCCTGGAAGGTGGCTTAAAGTATCGCTTTTGACGGTGAAATGTCAATTTTGGCGGCGAAAAGTAATGTGGTCCGGTCTGTCTGAAAACTAGCGTGTCGACGTTCTTGTAAGATGTTGGTGAAAGGGTCGATAAACCAGTAGTTGGTGAAGGCCTAGCTAGGGAAGGTATGCATCGATTGTACCCAAAATGAATTCCCAGTTCCATCACAGACCACGCTGAAACCCCAAGCTGAAACCAAGCTGATTCTTCCGTTCCAATACGGAAGAATAGGAAGTTCCATTCACTATTTCTGGTTGGGACATGGGACCCACACACTTGTGGCATATGGAATCGCCATTGACCCTGCGCATCTTCTGTTTTGCTTGAGACCGTCTCCGACTTGGAAGTCCATCACGTTTCACGCCGCCGAGCCAGAGCGGGCCCCGGTGACGCCAACCAACGAGGAGCTTTCCCATGGATGAGGCCGGCAAACAAAAAAAGAACGGGGACGATTCCCCACACCGTCTGGGAGTCCAACCACCATTGATTGGATGGTTTTTCTTCCAACAATCCTTGCGTTACATAAAGATGTTACCCTACCAAGCAACAAAACCATGGCGGCCAACCCCTTTTTATGACATGCTCTTCCGGATGGGCCAACCGCGAGCCTTTCGCCAAACAAAGGAAGCGACACCGATCCCGGATAGCCCGGGCATCTTTCGTGGTCGATCCACTCGTCGTCGAGGACCGGCTCAGTCGTACCGTGGGGACCGTCTGACTGGTCTTTCGTGCGATGGTCGTTGTCGTGGTCGGTTGAACTGAAGAATCAAACCCTAAGAATCCGGGCCCGGTGTGGTCGGTCAGCAACACATCCAGACCGTTTGGTGTGTCCGGGCCCAGACCGTGAAACGGTGTGTCCGACATGGAGAGCCCGGACTCGGAGACTCTTCGGGCGCAGAGAAGCCACCGGTTACCAGGACCTTCACAAAGTGACCGAACTTGAGATCCTAGAATGAGGTCACAAACAGAGACTCCAGTCAGAGGTCCACGTATTGAAGGTCCACCTACATCTTCCGTTGACCGTCCGATGCTTTCCCGGCGACCCATCACCGAGCCCTGATGATCCCGGTGATGGCTTCGCTCGGACTCAGGGGTTCGGCTCGCCTCGCCTCCGGTCTTGGGTCACTTCGGAAGCTTCAAAAGGTCCAGGAGAGGGCCAGAGAGACCTGAACTAGGACCCTGGTGTACATATGGGATGGGCGACAAAGGGCTGTTCAACCTCTGTAGGGTCACTTGGAAGGTCCGATTTGGGACCTCTCCCCTAAGTCCACCGAACGACGAGTCTTGGGGACCCACCCGATCGACTTGCAGGACATTCCGATCGACTTGGCTCACCTAGCGATCGTCACCGGAATGGTCTTCTTTCTTGGACTTCCAGGGTCTCAACCACAGCCTTGCACCCGAACCAGGTCACCCCTTTGCACCTTTGCACCAAAACCCCAAGCTGCTTCGGGTCACCCGTCTCCTTGGGCGGTGACGTTTCGTGGGTTTCGACTGAGACCTGGCCCGATCGGTCGCTGGGTTGACATCCAGCCGGAACCGAACCCCGGACCCAGAGCCCGCTCACGTGTCGGGGAGACCCCATGTCTCGAGCGTCGGAACACCCCCAGGTCTGGTGGAGCGATCAAGCCGACGTTCGTTCGACGAAGCCGACCGGTTCGTGACGAGGTGAGTCCACGTCGCTGACGTCCCGCCGACCACGACTGCTCATACGACCGCTCCAAGATGGGGTGTGGCTCGTCCCATCCAGGGGTTGGGGATGTGACATTCGGGGCACCCCGAGCATTTTCCCTCCATGGATAGCACCCTGACCTCGGAACTGCTGGAGGTTCAGACAGGCGAAATGATCATGCGATTCTCTGGATGAATTCACAACTTAAAATAGAGACTCTGCAAATCTCTGCAAGATCGGGGTTGCTTGTGGATTATATCATGGACCCCCCACACACAAGAGATACATAGAGATACATAGAGATACTGAGATACTTCGACCCTTTTTTGACCTCGCCTTCATCAGCCAGCTTTGGGCTGCGCCATTCCACCCACTCTCGTTCTGGGGTGCACCGACCTGTTCTACCCCCAGCCGTGGCCCGCGCACACCCGGGCCGACGCGAGCCGAGGGCTCGCATACCACGGTCCACGCGGCGCACGCGGGCGACGTGGTCAGTTCCGAGAGAAGAACAAGTCCAGCTTGGGAGACTCGGTGAGGTAGCCGCTCTGCGCAGCACCTCAGACCGGTCTGGGGGTCGAGGTCACACGGTCAAGCTGCCGTTCCCACGGAGGACTCATAGTCCTGCCCGCCAGAAAAGATACATGTCGACATCCCCCAAAGAAAAACACCAAAGAAGCACACGAAAAGATACACCAAATACATATACAGTATGACTCGAAAAAGAAGAGCCCGTCAGGCTTCAGGCTTCAGGCAGATCTTCCAAGATCGCCATTCCCACAGAGTCCATTCGTTTGTGAACGCCGCGCCGCGTCTGCGCGGGCGCCTTTGAGCACCATGACGTTGTGGATCACCACGCGGTTCTCCGGCCTGAGCGGAACGTTGCGGAGCGCAGAGTGCTCTGCGGACAGCGGACGGCCTCGTTCTGGCAACGGCCACAAAGCCACTTTGTGGACATGGTTACGTGGATGGCACAGCCTGTTTGGTCTTCGGATTGATTTCATGGTCATCCGAAATCGGGGCCACACGTTCTCCACGTGAAAGTAAATGGTGATGGAAGGAATCTGACGGATCTATGATATATGGACCCTGGAAGTCCGTTTGACCATTCACAAGAATTGGGAACCACCCAGACGCTCCTGGACCCTCATATGCAGGGGTCGGACCCGAATTCTCTGGAGGAGTCTGGACCCGAACCAAACCCGGTTTGGTTCGGGACCAGTCGGGCTGTGAACGGAGCGTCTGGGCACCTGGTTTTGTGTTTTTTTTACACTCCCTAAGAATCCGGGCCCTCAAACAGATAGGGTTTTGAGGGCCCGGACCCCTGCTATGGAGGGTCCGACCCCTGCCATGGAGAGCCCAAGGATTCTTAGGGCTTAGTAAAACTGGCTCGATGGTTCGGTCGAGTCCCTTCAAGCCGACACCGGAACCCACGACCTCTAACACCCGGTGGACCAAAACCTGCGACCTCCAGCCAATCGCAGCTCGTGCGGTGAAAAAAGGGGGAGTATCCTCTACCAGGACCCTCCGACAGGTCACCAATTGAGACCTGTTAGGGTCCAACAGCCCTCAACTAACAGCCTGTTGGAGGGTGCTGGTAGAGTCTACAGTGTTTTGCGGTCGTTTTGGAAGAAGTCCTCAGTAGTGTGCCTAAGCCCTATACACTTACAACAATGGATCAAAACGACGAGGATTGTGAACCCTGTGAACCCCCAAAAAGAGCCTTATGTTCACAATTGTTCACATGTTCAAATCACCGTTGGAAAAGCTTCAAGCACTTGTCCAGGTGTGGTTTTTCAATGTTTTTCATTAAGCCCCAAATCCCAAGGAAAGGACTGCTGAAGCAAGAGATGTCCATGTCCAGACTCCCTCGCATGAACCGGGAAGACCATTCAAAGAGGTCAGCCGACCTGGTGTTGTACTCAAAACTCCTTAAAGTAAAACAGCTCGGTTGGTCGGTAAAAAGCCTGTCAAAAAGAACCTGTAAGTCAGTGGCGGGCCACGAATCCTAAGAAAATTGCTTCCACCAACACTACTGAGTCCTACTGGTTCCCTTTGTCCACTTCATGTGCGTTTTCCTCCGTTTTCCTTCGCCCTCCCTGAGTCCTCTGCTCGATGGTCAACGCCTTCTCCAAGCCTTGCGCTGCTTGCTGAAAGGCGCCGGCCACCATCCAAACCTCGGGACGCACCGGACGTTCGGCGTAACGACGTTCGGCGGTTCGGCGTGTGCTTCGTCCAACGGCTTGTGACGCTGCGACGGCGGTTCAAGCCTTCCGCTTGAGCATTGAAAGAGGTCGCTGGCCCCCCCGCGGAGTCGAACATGCTTCGTCCAACCGCTCGCTTTCGACCCATGTTTGGTGGTCGACCCCGCTGGTTTCAACGGTGGACCATGTTTTTCCATCCAAGGGGTCACCTGGGGACGTCTACGACCCCCGTTGCACGCTCCGATGTGCCGAGCGATCGGCCTATCACTCGAAAGGTTCACATCGAAGTCCCCTATACGTAGGTCCAGTCTGACCCAGGTCCAAACCTGGTCAGTCGATGGAGCCTGGATAGTATGGGTTTTGTATGACCATCTCCATGTATTTCATGAGGTCAGTTCCTGACTTGGCTTCAAACGTCCGATGCTGCACCGTGACGGATCGAGAACCAAACGATGCTCAAGGACGGGGGCCGGAAAGGACCCGGAAATCGGTCCGGTTTGAGGGGGTGATGCGTGCCCCCCACCCCCCACCATCCATCCCCCCACCATCCATCCCACGTGGGTCTTCTAGGAACAGCAGAGCTTGAAGCCTCTAGGCCCCTATCTAGATCCTATAGGCTACTCCTGGGTTTCGGGTCCTATCCTAGTTCAGGGTCACTTCACCCACCTCGGTATTTCTCGGAAACAGGCTGTAGACAAACAAACAGGTATCTTCGCCTGGCATGTTTCTCCATCACCCGACACGAGATGAAGGTGCTTCGTCTTCACTGCCCGTTCTGCCCGGCATCTCGGCATCTCGGCACGCGGATCCTGCCTCTCTTACCGCGCATGGAGCGTGGTCTTTTTATACCATTTGTTCTTTTACCGCGCATGGCGCATGGTCTTTTTGTTATTTCTTTATATCCTCCCAATGTGAGCGTCCGTTGTGCCAAGGGGCAACGGCTAAGTTGGACCACAAGACCGGGTTCTCCGGGTCGTACTCCAAGCCTTCGAGACACCACGGGCGCAGAAACAGGCCACGTGTTTGGGGGGGATCCAAATGGTGGGAGGACAAAAAGGATAATAGGGTCCTGGTACCAGGACCCTCCGACAGGTCACCAATTGAGACCTGTTAGGGTCCAACAGCCCTCAACTAACAGCCTGTTGGAGGGTCCTGGTAGATAAACTATAGCGCGTCTTTCAAGCTACGTACTTTTTGGTCTGAATGTTCTCGCTTGCGCAGTTGAACCAATAGAACGTCGAGACATGAGCAGCTTGCATCTGGTTCCATCTGCTCACACTCCCAACCGCAAACTGCTGGGCTCTCTCAATTTGGTGGGGGCGGGAAAGGCACAGTAGATCTCCAATATGCAGCATGACTGCCGTGAGGGAGGAAAACGACAATTACTGCTACTCCTATTGCTATTCCCACCAATGCCTCGACGCTACCCCTAACCCTACCCGTACCACTACCCGTACCACTACCACTCTAAATCACGAATTATTACAAGAGTACTATCACCATTACTGCCACCGCCACCGCCATCTATTTTCGGCCGCCGCCACCACCACTACTACGACACCAGCACCAACACAAAAACCAAGACTGTTCCTCAGTTACTTCGATTTCTTCCGCACTTGTTCCTGGCAGACGGAGCCAAAAACCCATGACCTACGGTTCGGTCACCATGGTCAATGCTCAGCTCAAGAACTCCCTGCCTCTGGCCAGGACATCTTGTGCTTCTTGCAGCTGATTCAAGCTGGCAAAGGCATAGCCTCATGGAGTCGGAAGTTCCCTCCCCCAGTTCCTGAAAAAACTGAAGTTTCCTCGTTGGTTTCTAATGGTTTCTCCTTTGCTCCGATCGTGTCGACATAGGGTGTTCAGATGCAGAGATATGCGGAGAGATCATCGAAATGTAGTCAATTGTTCACTTGTTTCCTGGAAAAAACAGGAAAGACCATTCGCCCCCCTAAGAGGAACCTACCAACAACAGCCGCGAAAATGAGATGATGATTCGGCGTGTCCAACAACACTACCCCAAACAGCCCCAAACAGGCGGCCCTGGTGGCTTCACGCTCCAGACCGCGCCCCGACCCTTCAACCTTTCGCACACAACAACTCCTGTGCTGAAAAACAGGTCGAAATCTGTCAAAGCCAATCGTGGCGAACCGCGATCTCAGCAGGTTTAGGTCTGCAGAAGTCGATCTCAGCGACGGACCCAGGGCATTTTGGCCATGGGGCACAGCCGCATTCCTGTTTGCAAGTGTTGCATTGACGTTCGTTCGAGGTTCTAAAGACACCGGGTTTGGGCCACGCTTTTTCTCACCAGGAACTGAAAGAACACAAACAAACTCTCCAGTCACAGCCAAAGAAAGGAAACGCTCGCTCCGTCGCCCATCCTTCTCGCACAACGGCGTCGGCCGAGGCCGCAGCGCGCTCCCGGACGCCGATCGCGACGCGTCGCGTTTCCCCACGGTGGCTGGATCGATCGGATGTCCGTTTTCCCCGGGTCTCCTGGAGAGGCCTTTCTCCAACGCTGGGATCGCCTGCCGGATCAATCTACAACGGCGATCCGGTTCGTGGTTCGACGAACGGCGGACGAAACGTGGAGAGCCAATCCAGAGGCTGAAGCGGCTGAAGAACTCGAAAAAGACGGTCCCATAGGCACTCCAGCAGGGTCCTTCGTTTGAAAGGTGGAACCCAACTTGAAAGGCCATGTGCGAGCAAGCGGAAATTGCAAATTGGATGGTGTTTCACATGTGATAATAAAGTCTGTTCGTCTGGTAGTAGCTTCTCAAAAGTGCTTGTAAAATACCTTCCAACACCATGGGCCCAGTGCCACAGTCCAAGCTCTCTCAGGCGCGGCTCCGGCCCTGGCGCTCAGCGTTTCAGAAGCTCCTCATTGACGAAATTCTTGTTGAGGTGTGCGGTTCATGACGCCCAGGGAATCTGAGGTAACTGCAATAACTACGATTCACACCCGGGCCCCCCCCCAAGGGATGTTTCTTCATGGCCCCTGAGAGGTTGAAGGCGCCCGGCCGAAACCCACCAAGTGACCGGTGTCCGTTCACCACCCCCTCGCGGGGAGTCGCTCTCATCAGTCGCCGGCCGCCACCGATCCGGTTGCCCGGCTCTCCGGCCTCTTCAAAGCGGCCCAGTGCCACTAATGTGAAGCCATAGTCCACATACAGCATCCACAGGTTAAACCTCACGGAGGAAACACGGATTGAACCCATCTAACCCTTCATCGGTCGGCTTTTTCGGTCGGCGAACATGGGAGAAATGCCACCTAACCGCAAACTATAGCGTGTATGACCTCCATCCCAACTCAGAACGTTCCAAAAGTGTTGGACATCGTCATATCCCAGAAACCCTAGAATTGGCTCTCTGCACTTCAGCGCTTTTGCCCCATCTGTCCGTCCCCTTTCTCCCCAGACCTCTTTCAACCCCCCCATGATTACTTTATTAAGGCGGCTACATGCGGCTATCTATCTAATCAATATAAAAACATGCGCGCACAGCAGAACATAAACACACACAGGGGCTTGCGCCCTCCTTCACGGCGGTTCCACCGGTGACAGTCGCTCGCTGGAAGCGCCCGCGGGTTCCGCTCGCGGGTTCTCGGCCGAGGAGCGGCGAGAAGCCCACGCCGTGGCCCCGGAGGATCTTCTCGAAGCGCTCCAGCGCCAACGGATAGCGTGCCGTCCTGGGCGACCGGACGTGCGCCCGGTGGGGGCTCACATCGGCAGAGGAAGCTTCAAAAGGAAAAAGACGCAGAAAGCCTGGAAATCGAAGGATCTCAAGGATCTCAAATGTCATATTGAATCAACCAGGTTGTTTTTGGTTGGGACTGGGTTTCCAGGAACAACTCAATGCTCAACTCCATGCTCAACTTCCGCTTCGCTTTGCTTCTTCTCGATGCTTCCCATCTTCTCGCGAAGCGTCTCATGTGTCTCAGGGTCCTTCCAGGCGATCTTCTTGTGGATCTCTATCCCAGACACGACAGACCCCGGGTCAATCATATGGTCGTGTCTGGTTATAAATCCCTACAAGTCCAAAGACCCAGTAAAACCTGGTCTTTTACCTGCTTAAGTATTGGTTTTGTATGACCATCTCCAGTATTTCATGAGGTCAGTTCCTGACTTGTAGGGTATCCTACTCATTTCTTGAAGCATCTTGGAAGATCCCACCGACCAGACGAACCCTTTCGGACACCCTTCCAGACCACCCCGGACCGACCGCGTGCCCCGGACCGACCGCGAAGTGACAGGGCCCCATCTCTTTGGGCCCCGGAGCTCGATGTAGATCTGCGCAATGCAGTGATCCGTCAGGGCCTAGGCTGAGCGGAGCTGTTCCGACCGGGCCTTGGGGGGACTGGAAGGACCGACGGATCACCGCGAGCTCCACCCGGAAGGACCACCCTGGATGACTTGAATGGATGCCTAGGCTGGAGCCTTTTTGTGTCCAATTGATTAAATATATTAAAATATGGTAGTAAAAACGCTGCCGGAGTCCCCTCTAGGCTGTGTCGCCTTCGGCTCTGGGTTTCCATCGTGGGTTCGGGCCAAAGACCGGTCGTCCTCGGCTGGTCAGTTCTCCGGCCAAGACGAACTCACATGTCGAGGAGACGAGGAGGTCAAGGGCACTGGTCCGGTGGGGGGCGGGGGGCACCAGCTTCAGACCCGCTCCGGCAAAAACCTGGGTCAATCCGGAAGTTAAGAAGCGGAAAGGTTGCACCTTCGTTCCTTCGAAGCGGATGCTGGACCATCTTGGACCCAACTCACCTTCAGAAACCTCGACCGTCACCGAATCAAAAGCCCTATACTGCTTGACCGCGTCGACTCCGTGCAAGCGCGAAACCGAGCGGTTTCGCTCCGTTTGGACTCTCCAAGTGGAGATAATTGCCCAGATATGGTCCTGAAAAAATCAGGGATGGGGGTTCCCATGTGCAAAACTGAATGGCAGGAGAATCCATGTTGCCTTGAAATCACATTGGCTGTCTGCATGGTGTCGACAGCCAGGACGCTCTCAAAACCACAAAACCTGATGCCACTCAGTTGCATTGTCGTCGAGGATCGTCAGAGATGCATTGAACCTGACAATTCAGTTCGCTGGGAACACCCGCAAAGGATTGTGTCATCCTCAGGCAAACAGAACATGAGGCAACCCGGCAACGAAAAAGAGGCCCCAAGGGTGAAAGAGCAAGGGTCATCGTTGGTCTTGGCAACTTGTCCATAACTTCCCCCAGGACCACGAACTTGGTCGCTCTCTCCGTCCTTTACGCAGATGCTCATGGACCCGGTCCGACCCTACTCCTACAGCAGTAAGTCGAGGTGGGACCCTCATATAGAGGGGTCAGAAGTCTGGACCCTCTAATCCCTATGGTTTTGAGGGACCGGTCGGGCTGTGAACGGAGCATTTGGGTAGATGCTTTTCGATAGTTTGAGTTGTTTCGCCCCATCAAGCGGCCGACACGCGGCTCCGCCACCCGAAGACGGTCCCAAAGAAGAGAAGGCACATCTCAGGCGGTCTCGTTGTCCCAGATGTTGTCCAAGTTTGACTAAGTTTTTGACCCCTATAGAGATCTCTAAGACGGTCGTTCCATGTCGTTCCCTGAGAACCCAAATTTAACGCATTTTACTCCTAGTGGATTTTGACTGCCGGATGGGGGCTCTCATGAGTCAAGTTCCGGAAGTTCAGGGGTCGTTCTCATTCATCATCGATCGATCGAAGGAAGGGAGTTTATGGCACCACTCGCCACCTCTTCATGCCCGAGCCACACTTAGGAGATCCTTTCAGGAAGAACCAACATCAAACTGTTTCTTCATGCGTTTGGTGTCCCAAATTAGAGCTCTGATGTTTGAATGGCACCCACGTTGGAATGCTGGACTGGGACACGGCGGGGCAATCACTTGCGCACGGGGAGTTTACGCCACTTGCGCACTGGACGTCACTTGCGCACTAGGCATCAATCACCTGTGCACTTACCTGCTTGCTGGCTCCTGGGTGGGGTGGGGCCTACTCCACATGCAACTACTGTAATGAGTGGGTTGGGGTGGGGGTGGGGCGGTTGCAGTTGCCAACCATACAGTGTAACTCCGAAGCGCTGAAAGAGTTGCCAAGTGGGACAAGGTCAACATTGAGGCACTTGCAGCCACAAGCCTTGTGGGAAAGGATATGAATAAAAGCACTTGCGCTGGCCGCTGCCGTCAGTCTGCCAAAGCTGGCTGCACCTCAAAACAAGCTGACCACGGCGATCGCCAGCGCGTATCAGATGAGGTTGCTCAGAACAATGGCATGGTGTGGGCAACCAACCCACTTAAAAGACTTCGAAAAGATGGGCACTGCAGCATTCAAAATTTGTTGCGTTTCTGCTTCTTCATCCGCCATGAATTCTCGATCCCCCTGTGGACTGCAAGGGGGGGCGCTCATATGGAAAAGATTTCTGAGTGGGAATTGTTATCCAATGTGCGCAATGACCTGCAAATTAAAACCTAACCCCCTACCTCAAAAACACCTTGTTAAGAGTGAGATTTTTCCCTGTCCCCTAACCCCCCCTCAAAAACAACTTCCTCACGCAGTGACAAGACGAGACGGGACGGTGAGCGGGTTTCTTTTTTCTCGAGCGAACTTGCATTCCGTTGCATACTGGGTGAAAGGATTGCTCAAAATGATCAAAAGATCTCACTGGGAAGATTCTACTTCTGTGCCTCTTCTTCACATGTGATCTAAGAATCTCACTGGGAAGTTCTACTTCTGTGCCTCTTCTTCACATGTCCCAAGGGAGCCTTTCACAATGCCATTGAGAAGCGCCTTCCACTCCTGATAGCTGTGAACCACAAATGGCCCACAAAGATTCGCAATCACACCCAAAAACAATATGTTTCGGGGACGATACAAGAGAAGTTCAACTCAAATTACAATTGTCAACACGCGCCACGGCAGGCATGGTATGTGCCTCTGGCGGACCACTCAAAGCAGGATTGGTCAACCATGTTCCTCCTGCACTTGCTGCAAGACTTCCGGCACGGCTCTCCTAAGAGTTCTGGTCAAAAACCTAGATAAGACAGTGTCCTCTTTGAGCTCGCCAAAAGCTCGCCACAAAGCTCGTTTTCAAGCTCGTCTATTTTTGAAAAGTTCAATGAACAGCTCACAAGCCCAAGCCAACGCCCAACCCAAAGTTAAAAGTCCAAACCAAAGTCTAACCGAAAGTTCAAAGTCCACGTCCAAGCCAAAATCCAATCAAAAGTTAACAGTCCAAACCAAAGTCCAACCAAAAGTTCAAAGTCCAAACCAAAGGCCAACCAAAAGGTAAAAGCCCAAACCAAAGCTTAACCAAAAGTTAAAAGTCAAAACCAATTTCCAACCACAAGTTCAAAACCCAAACCAAAGTCCAACCAAAAGTTAAAAGTCTAAGGAAAAGTCCAGCCAAAAGTTCAAAGTCCAAACCAAAGTCCAACTAAAAGCTAACAGTTAAAAGTCCAATGGACAAATAGATGTATAATTAATTTTACATTGAGTTATTGATATTGCATTAGGTTAAAAGTTATCAATTTTGCTTGATTTTATTTTTGAAATACAATGGCTGAGGCAGAAGAAAAGGAGACAGAGTTTTAGTAGGAGAGGCAGAGTAAACGAAAGGCTTGTGTATGAGTGTGTGAACTTTTAGGCTTTAGCTAACGCCTGAGCAAAGCTTCAGCTAAGCTTTAGTTAACTTTAGCTGCTGCAGCCAGAAAGCTTTAGCTAAGCTAGCCTTTAGCTAAGCCCTAGCTACCATTATAGCTTAGAGCTTAGCTAAGGCTAAAGCTTAGCGAAAGCTAAGGCTTAGCTTTAGCTTCAGCGAAGCCTTAGCTGACCTTTAGCTAACGCTTCAGCGACAGCTTTAGCTAGAGCTTTAGTTGAAGATTTGAGTTTAGCTGACGCATTAGCTTAGCTAACGCCTAACGCCTAGCTGATTTTTTATGCGTATAGACGATGACAGCTGCCAACGCACCGCCGCAAGCAAAGCCGCAAGCAAGGCGCTGGAAAGATGCCAAGTTGCCGCGCCACCTAAGTGACGCGCGAGCAGAAACTAGTCCTTAGTCACGCAATCCCCATCAGGGGCCATGACCAAGGCACCACCAAGTAATTCATGCACAGTATGCCTCCAGCAGGCACACACTGTCCTTAGTCGTAAAAACGATTGTTCCTTGGTCATCAGGGATCTACAGGTTTTTTCTTCTGCAGACCCGTTCTCACCCTCGCTGTGAACCTTTTTTTAAAAAGAGACACCAAACAGGGAGAGAGGAGAACCAAAAACATCAGGAAAGGACAAGGTCGGCTCCCATACCACAAGCATTCAGCCTGTCAAGAGCAGGAAGACCTACACCTCATTATTTCATGACTAAATCAAGAAGGAGCCTAGTTGCATCGGTCTTTCAAGATTCGAACGCGAACGCTCGCAAGCCAAGTGAGAATGGCCGAGCCCACCTCTTTTCGCCTTGGGTCACCACTCGGCCACCCCATTCTTGTTTGCAAATGATCAACGCAATCGCGTACAGTCACACGTGCAGGTCTAGGTGCAGCTGAGCAGGCCCACGTGCAATGGTCCCAGGTAGCGACCACGTCCATCTTTCGCACCAGGGACACTTGACAACCTCAGAAGGCTTTATGCGTTGCCAGGCCGCCGGGCTAACCTGTGCTCCAGTGGTGACTGCTATGGCATGAGAGTCCATGTCCATGAAGCGCAGGTCACGTATCCTTCGGGGGTCATAAGGTATGCCAGCGCATTCCCGGCTGTCTCGGCGGTTTTGACCCAGCCACTTAGCAAAGCAAGTGTGTCGCCAGGACTCTCGCAGAACATGCCGAAGTTTGGAAAGGTCATCCATCCAAGCTGCACTGTCAGAGCGGAGACTAACAGTTTCGGAGAGCCCCACATGAGCCCATGTCCACATAGATGTTTCGCTCCATCCCATATCCATCATACCCTTTCTCAAGGCGCCTTGCCAACCAGTCTTTCCACGGGGCCAGTCAGGCAGAGGAATACCTTGACGTGACACAAGTCTGCGCACAATGGTGCAAGCTGTGGAACATGCCTGGATCTTAATGTCCCATTGATGCCCTCGAATGATGGCATGTAGATGAGGACTCGCCGCATGATGCGTGGCCATGAGCCGGCGACAAGCGAAACGGTCTCAGCTCCCCAAAAGTTGGCCTCCTGAAGAGCCATCCTCAACTTGCTTTCGGGATAACAGCATACTGAGCCAAACGGACTTTCCGCTTGAGGGTGCCAGGAAGACATCTCACTCGAGCCAGCTTCCCTTTCGACTGCAGAAGTCTTTGTTTTTGTGCAGGGTCAGCCTTTCGGCTTTGGAGACCAGCGAAGTTGAAACCTAGCACACGAATCTTGTCCGAGATTCCATTCTGTGGAGGGGTCGTGTCCATAAGTTGGGAACGCCCTTGCTTCTGTGGATGGTAAAATTGTGCTTTTTGTCTGTTTTCTTGTAGGCCGAGGCGAGCTGCCCAAAGTTCCCATGAGCGGGTCACCTGTGCAAGACTTGAAGCTGAAGGGCATGCAAATGTGCGATCGTCAGCAAAGACAACTTGAGTCGCTCCCGGATGCTCTGCACCGATAGCCCGGACTGCGGGGATCAACATTGCAGTGAGAGCCAACATGCTCCAACTGTCTGCCTGGGGAAGTGAAGCACCGTCAGCCAAAGTCTCTCCCATGTACTGTAAACAACGTCGCTGATTACCCCACACATCTTGGAGCAAGTTGACCACCTTGGTATCCATACCCCAATGTCTAAGAACCTTTAATGCCAGGGCAGGGTCAGCTCGATCGAAGGCCTTCTCGAGGTCCAAGGTACCCACATACCAATTCTGCAAGGTCTTTTCTAGAAGTGGTCCCATGGCATCGAACACACCACGGCCCGGCAAACCACCATAAGCCTCCTGTGGCATTACTCTGCCAATCCATTGCTTAGTGATTTCATGCTGGAAACGAGCCTTGGCACAAATTCTCCAGATGATGGAGGCAACCGACACCGGTCGAAGACAAGGTTGCACCATCAGCTTGCAGGGGTTTGTCCTTAGACAAGTGGACCTGTCTCATGG